CCCCAAAACCCCAAAACCCCTTGAATCAAATTTAAGGAATTAATTGAGAAAATAGTGTTTTAATTCAAGAATTTAATGAAATGTGATAAGAGAGATTAAATTAAGTCTTAAAATCAAACTTTTCTTCAATTACCTACATATAATCAATCAGTTCTAACAACAGCCAAGGTGAGAAGATTGTAGTATTCTGGGTAGGTATTTATGTGATTCTCAACAAACTCTGGTAAAATTTCAAAAACTTCTTTCGAAATTTCTTTAATGGTCTCTTAGTCCATACCCTATTGAGCAAGCCCTCCTTCTAGCACTCCACCCCACCATCCTTGGATTAATCCCGTAACGTACTTTCCAAAAGTTTTCTAATCTCTTGTTTCTACATATTCATGGTAGAAGATATCTTTGACATCAAAATCATTTGAAGATATTACATGCATATCAGGTATGCTATTGCAAACATCTAGGAAATGCTCCTTGTAAGCGGAGATAGTGGTTTTCATGCAAGAGGCAATTTTATCCTCTGCATTATACTTAGCAAGCACCTTCTTTACTACTTATGATACCAATTCGTGATAGAATTCATTCTCTTTTATCTGATAGTCCTTGTTTGGATTGTGGTTTACTGACACAGTCACGAACAGCAAGCCATCTTTCTTTAGTTCAGCTTTTCTTGAGTGCATAAACTGAGCCCAATGCTTTGTTAGGCCCTCAATCCATTTTTACCCTCTTTCAGTTTCAGCATTCTCTGTATTTACTAAGAAGAATAGATTGTCATCTAAAGGAGCTGGGTGACTGGGCAGAATCATAGCTGTTAGAGAAGAGAATGATACATCAAGGAATTTATTAGGAAACACCTGCTGACTAAAATCCTTACCAGCAGCCATGATAAAAACGCCTTTGTAGTCTTTCAATCCTTCTTAAACAGTCATAAATGCCAAATCAAATCTATTCTCAGGTAGATCCTCAAGGTAAACATGAATCTCTTTATCAGGGTTGATTTGCCTTACTCTATCAATAATTGTTCTTAATGGTGTAATAGATGCTCCCCCAGTGGCACAGCCGAAGTCAGCAATAGAAAATGAAGTTTCTGAGTTTTCAAATCTTTCAGGATTTTTATCGTATAACTTGTTAATAGAGTCCAATAACTCTGCAACAGCAATAGCAATTGATTCATTTGCCCATCCAGCAGCAGTGTTGTTGTAGTCTTTATGCATTACTCTAGCAGATCCTTTCTCCTCAGTATTGATGTAGCTCATGTGATAGCCTAAAAATTATCAATGAAATATTATATAAAAATCTCTATTAGGATGGGAAATAGGATATCTTTTTAATTTAGCTTACTAAGTCTTTTAAGAAATGCTCCAAAAATTTGACAATTAAAATTATTATCTTCAACTCATAATAAATATCGAATTAATATACATGCTCAATTTTAAAATTTTCTAAATTATAGCCAGCATGGGGTTTTGGGGTTTTGGGGTTTTGGGG